AAAAGAAAAAAATTTTTTTTTTTTTCGTTAAACCCGAAAGTGTTGAAATGAAATTTTCTTTTTTTATTTTCCTTTTTCTTTCCTTTCCTTTTTTTTTATCCTTTTTTCGTCTGCTTTTTCTTTATATTTTCTCAAGTCTTCGTCTTCGTCGTTTCATTAAATTATAGTCGTTCGTTTATTAAAAAAAAAAAAAAAAAAACTAAGATGAAGTTTTCGTACGTCGTAAATAAATTTTGTATTAAATTTCATCACGTTTTAATTAAAAAAATTAATTTTTAAGGTTTTTTTTTTTTTATTCACTCTCGTGTCACGTGACGTGAATTAAATGTAAATCCGGCGGAGTTTTACCCCCCGTCCCTTCTCCCCACGAAAAAAAAAGAAACTACACCTTAAACAAATCTTTTGACATTTTTATTATTTTACGAAAAAAAAAAAAAAAATTCGAAAACGATTCGAAATGTTTTTTTTTTTTTTGTGGGGTCTCTCCAGGTACGTTATCGAATTCTCGTGTGATTCCAGAATATTCCAGGTTATGGGACACAAAAAAAAGTACAAAAAAATATGAATCTGCCCCGAGGCATTTTAAAAAAAAAAAAAATTTTTTTTTTTTTGTTTCTTATTAAGAAATCTTAAAAGAATAAAAAACAAAATGGCGCTTGGGAAGTAAAAAAAAAAAGAAATTCTAGGTACACGTCGCAGAAATAAAAAAAAAAATATATTCCTTTGGGAAAAAAAACAAAAAAAAAAAGAAAAATTTTTTTTTTACTTATAAAAAATTTACATTTTTGACTCTTCCCTCCATTACGCATGCGTTAGTACGCGGGTTTCGCAAAATTTTTATTTCCTTTTTTTTATGACGTGTCAAAGGAAAAAATGTAGGAGGATTTAAAAAATTTTAATTTTTTTTTTTTGTTTTCCGAAATGAAAATCTAAAGAAAAATGCATTATCAATTTTTTTTCTTTTTTCTCATTGGTTGTAATTTTTCCTTCGTAAAAAAAATTTTCATAACAAAAATGGAAAGAAAAAAATAGAAAAAAAGGAAAAGAGAGAAAAAAATTGACGGAAAAATAACCTAAACGATAGCAAGCAAATTAACCTCCCTCCTTCCTCTCTTTTTACATCATCTTACCAAAAAAAAAAAAATTTTCCTTTTCCTTTCCTTTTTTTTCTTTCCTTTTCCGTTTGTTTATACATATATATAAAAAAGGAACCTTTTTTTTATCATCGATGTAAAAGTTTTTCCTTTTAAAATTGCGTGTGGAAATTTGAGTATAAAAAAAAAAAAATTTTTTTTCTTAGAAAAAGAAAATTTTCATTTTATTAATTTACGATCGAATTAACGTACGAATGAATGAATGAATGAATGAACGAATGAATGAACGAATGAATGAATGATTGATTGATTGAATGAATGAGGAAACGAATGAAAAAATTACAAATTTTTGTGTTTGACAATAAAAAAAAAAAAATACAAAACTTAATTAAATTTTATTATTATTATTATTTAAAATTCGATGACATTGGTGGCCATCTTTAAATTACATAATGCTATAATATAGTTTTACGTCACGCGCGTGACATTTTTTTTTTTTTTTTATGACAGTGCTTTTATTTCGTCAACAATTTAAAAAAAAAAAAACGATTGAATTTTTGTAACATTTTCCACAAAAAAAGAAATACTGGGAAATTCTTTAGAAATTTAATTTAAAAGAAAACTTTTCTTTTTTTTGGGTTAAAAAAAAAAATTACAGAATAATTTTACAAGATTAAATTATTTTTAGTAAAATGTAATTTTTCCAAGTCCGAAGAATCATCGTCTGCTTTTATCATTACAAAAAAAAAAGGAAAAAGAAAAAAGGAAAAACTCTTCATTTTGTTGTATTTTTACAACTTTTGAAAAAATAAAATCAGGAGATTTAAAAGATTTTGGAACTTGAATGAGTTTAGCCGATTTCATCTGATTGCTTCATTAAAAAAAAAAAAAAATATCTTCTGCTATGAAAAAAAAAATAGCAGAAGAATTTTTTTTTTTTTATTTTAATAAATAAACGAATGTAAAAAAAAAACGATTTTGTTGTTACTTTTGATTTTTTCTTCTTTTTCTTTTCGAAACGAGTAATGAAACTGAGGGAGAAAAAAGTAAAACAAGTTAGGGCGGCGGTGGGGAGGGGGTTGGTGGTAGTGGCGGTGAGGTGGGAATGGAGGTGGGAGGGGGGGTGGTAATAGAACAGAGGGCAGTTGACAATGTTCAATTTAATTCCCTTCAGTCTTTTCTTTTTTTCTTTTTTTTTTTTGTAGTCTTTTATTTAATTTTACGTCTTCTCCTTTTTTTTTTTTTTAACGAAGTTTCCGTTTTGACATTTTCTCTAATTTTTTTTTTCTGCTTTTCCGGGCATTCTCCGAAGATGTACTCCCCTCCTCTTCCCTCCTCTCCCTCCTTCCCCCCTCGAAAAAAATGGAGACGATTCGTAAAAAAAAAAATTTTGTTAAACGTATAAATAATTCGTTGTAATTTTTTTTTTCCAATGTAAATTTCACATTTATTTTAATTATTTCTTAACACGGCACTGATATTAAAAAAAAAAAAATTTCATTGGTTTATCCCCTTGTTGAATAATCGCAGCAATAAAAAATAATAATAATAATAATACGAATAATTTTTTTATACGTAACGTCAACCATTTTATAATTTCCTTCTTATTACGTAAGCACACACACACACACACACACACACCTAAAATGGCCGCCACCTGACACTTTAAGAAATTATTGTCGCCACTTTTACGACTTAAATATAAAAAAAAATAAAAATAAATAAATAAATAAATTATCCTTTTACGGGTCACCTGAGAGACATAAAAAAAAAATAATAATAATAATGATAATAATAATATTTTTAAATAAAATATATTTATTTATTTATTTATTTTTTTCATGTACGAAAGAAAAAAAAAAAACAAAATGTCTGACTTTTTCGGATTATTTTTTTTTTTTATTTAAATTTATTGCTTAAGAAAAAATAAAAACCTTTTGTTTAAAAAAAAAAAACACAAAGATTTTGATAATAATAATAATAATAATAATAATGATAAGCCAAAATGAAAAGATGGCGGGAAAAAAGAATGAGAAAAAAAATGGCGGGAAAAATTATGAAATTTTTACAATAATGTTATAATCAAAAAAAATCTTAAAATTTTCTTTTTTGACGGGAAAAAATTAATTACAGCCAACTCGAATCGTTTAAAAGAGGGAGGGGGGGAAACAGAAAAATTTTCCGGTTGGAAAAAAAAATGACAAAAGTTTTTTTTTTTTGTTGTTAAAGGAAAATTATTTTCCGGATGTAAAAAATTTTTTTTTTTTTATTTTCTAGAAAATTCGATGATCGATCGACGATAAATTATAGAAAATTTATCGGATTCGATATTTTATAAAAAAAAAAACAAATAATTTTTTTTATGGCGTATAAATTAAAAAATTTTACAGAGAGAGAGAAAGAATGAAAATAAGTAATAATAAACAAGGCGGTGAAATTTAAAAAAAAAAAAAAAATAACTAGAAACGATTTTCTTTTGGGAAAAATAATATTTTCTTTTTATCAAAAATTCTTTCCAAAACAGAATTGTATAAAAAAAAAAAAAGGTCAAATCTGGATTGTGAGAAAATTGGAGGGAAAACGAAGATTTTCTTTTTTTTTCTTTTCTTTTTAACCAATTCAAAAACAACTTTTATAATTTTCCATTAGGTTGTCGCTGGAATTTTATTTCCCAAAGGAACGAAAAATTTATTGAAAAGTTCGTTAAGACTTGATTCAAAGTTGAACGGATTTTGTTGCCTTCGAATGGTTCATTCACGGTTTTTTTTCTTCTCCTTTCTCCCTCCCTCCCTTCTTCCGTTATCTTCTCCTCTTCCTCCACTTTTTTTCCTCGTTATCATTATCATCATCATTTTTTCCGGTTGTACATTTAAAAAAAAAATCTTTTACGTCATTTCTTTAGATAAAAATTTTTTTTTGTTCCGCCTATGCATCTCGTTAAAAAAATTATATTATTATTATTATTATTGGAGAGAGAGAGAGAGAGAGAGAGAGAGAAAGAAAACTTCTAGAACACCCAAATTACGCGTATCCGTTTCGTTACAATTTTAATAAACAAAAAAAAAAAAAAATGAAATCCCTTTAAAACTTTAGCTATAAAAATTCGCCTTTACAAAACGGCGCCACCCCCTCCCCCGTTTATTAAAACCGACTCACCGAGGGGGTGGTAATTTTTTCGAAAAAACAACAGCAAAACAAAATCAAATTAATATAAATGAAAAAATGTCTGGATAAAAGTTATTAGAATTTTTTTAGAAAAAAAAAAAAAATGAAAAAAGGAAAAATTTGCGATTTTCAACAACTGCGGCAGAGGGGGAGGGGGAGGCAAAGTCACGGACGAGAGAGAGATTGGGGAGGGAAGGTTTGAAGGGAAAAAAAAAGATGGTGATGATGATGGTGATAGAATAGGGGGCAGAGAGAAAAGACGACAGCATTTCAAAACGATAAAAGAAAAAAGTGAAATGAATAAAAAGCTGTCGCTGGAAAAAAAAGAATATTTAATTTTTTCTTTATTAAAAATTAACGGATATCGATTTAAAAAAGGAAAAAAGGAAAAAAAAAAAAACTTGTTTCCGTTTTGGAATTTGATAACAAAAAATTTCAAAATGGAAAAAAATTCTAAACATTTTTTTTTGTTATTAAATTTTTTTCTCATTTACTTATTTTTTTTTCTTCCGATTCCCCCCCCCCCGCCCCATTCATTCATTCATTCCTTTTTTTACCACGTTCGAAAACAAAAAAACATAAAAAAAAAAAAATTAAACACTATTACCAACGCAAAAAAAAAAAATTATTTTTGAACTTCTGCTTATGTTTACCTTACTTACTTGATTTGTTTTTTTTTTTTAAAAAAAGCAAAAAAAAAAAAAAGGAAAATTTTTCGAGAAAAGGACGAGAACGACGAACATGATGTCGAAAGAAGAAAATTTAAAAATAGATGATATAAAAGAAGAAGTCAGAGAACTTAAAGATGATCATAAAGATCCGAAACTTTCATTATCTTACGATAAAAAAAAATATGCAAACAGCAAAAGTATTGTCAACAGCAAAAGCAGTTTAAAATCCGCCGATTCCTCTAACACGAGCAGTAGCAGTTTGGCCATGAAAAGGCAAAGCGAATACGATAGGTTGGCAAAGGTCGGTAGTTTAATAATGACGTAAACGTAATTGAAAAATCACGTGATAATAAAAAGGATATAAGAAAAAAAAATTTCTAGGGTCCGAAATATCAAAATACGTACAGGTTAGATTCTAAAAAACCGTTTAAATCAAACGAAGTTTATAATATATTGAAAAATGTTGTCAAAAGGGAAATAAGTAATTTTCTTATATACGATAGTCTTATGGGTCCGAGAATTGTTCAGACAATAGCAGCCGACGTTAGAAGTTTGGTTAAAGCAATGAGTTACGACAGGTACAAACACACACACACACACACTCACGCACATTCTCGCGCACGCAAAACAAAAAGGATCGTTATTACGTCATCATCACGATGTGATTTGTTTTTATCTTTCCAGATATAAAATTTGCGTGATGGTTTATTTGGGAGAAAAAAAACTTCAGGGTTTTCAGGCTGCGTTCAGAGGACTTTGGGATCACGAAAGAGACGGTTGGTCGACTTATTATTATCAAACGAGAACTTATTTCGTGTCTTGTACCTGTTTCGGATTGTACCACGATTGATTATGTTTCCACCCGTATGTTTTAATAATCGTCAGCAGGCATTAGAAATTATTTTATCATTAATATTATCATTATTATTTTTGTGAATTTATTAGGTTTGAGTATGACCTGATTTACTTAACATCCGACACGATTAATAAGAAGAAATATTATTATTATTATTATTATTATTATTATTATTATTTGTAATTTTTTGATTGGATTTTTTATATATTAAATTAAAAAAATTTTTTTTTTATGACGTTAAAATTGTGGCTCTCTTACAAACGGTGACGACAACAAACAACAAACATCACAAAAAATTTTATACATAATTTATACATGTGTAAATACATTCGTAAGTTAAACATTATTATAAATTTATTATTAATATTATTATTATTATTATTATTATCATTATTTTTTTTTTTTTCGTAAATAAAACAAAGTAAAAGCATTTTCTTATAATTTTACGGATTATTAATTTAAAAAAAAAAAAACAGAACAGAGCAGAACAGGAAGAAAATTAATTTATGAAAAATAGAAAAGAGAGAAAAAAAGGAAAAATTTAAAAAGGAAACTTTTTCCTTTTTGTTAAAGAGAGAAAGAGAGAGAGAGAGAGAATTTTTAATTTATAACGAAAAATTAAAAAAAAAAAAATTTTATTTTAATTTTTAATTATACGAATGATGGTTGAAAAAAAATATATATAAATTTTTTTATTATTATTTAAATAATAATAATAATAATAATAATAATAATAATAATAATGATGGTAATGATAATGATAATGATAATAATAATATCGTTCTTAGAGGGAAAATTATTAAAAAGGTTCATTATCAGCAACTGTTGCTGTCAGATTAATGCGGCCAGATTAAAAAAAAGAAAGGAAAGGGAAAGAGAAAGGAAGAAAAAATTTTTTTTCTTTCTTTTGTTTGTTTTTGTTTGTTTTATGTAAACAAACACTCCGACAAATAATAGACAAACAAACAAAAAAATAAAAAACAAACAAACAACATTTAAATATTAATATTTTATTTGATTTTAAATATTTTAAAATGTTTTCTTTTTTATTTTTTTTTTTACTTTTTTTTTGAAAGAAGATTTTTTTACTTATGATAAACTTACGATTAAATGAGTTTTCTTAAAAAAAAAAAAATACGTATTTTGTATTCCGCGTCGTTTTTTTTCGCAACCTTTTTTTTTTTTTTTTGCTTTTTGAAGGTTCCCATCAACCTTTTTACATTTAAACCTTTAAAAAATATTTTATTACATAAAAACAGGACCCGAGAGACTAAAAAAAAAAAAAAAAAAAAAAAAAAAAAACAAAATTTGATTTGAAAAAAAAAAAAATTTTTTTTTTTTTCTTTTGGAAAATCTTTCATCAAAAGGGCGTAAAAAAAAAAAGGAAAGGAAAAAAAAAAAAAGGGGGGGAACGCGTCAAATTCGATGCAAAAAAAATCTTTTTTATAGTATAAAACCGAATGCAAAAGGTTTTGCGGCCCTTTGAGTGTTTTTTTTTTATCCTTTTCAACAATTTACGCCGCCACCACCCCCACCCCCACCACCCCCACCCCCACCACCCCCACCCCCACCGCCACCACCCCCACCGCCACCGCCACCACCGAAACCATCTTTACGCATTTTATTACTTTTTGAACGCCCTTTTGAAAAAAAAATTTTCCACCTTTCCGAAATGAATTTTTTTTAAAAAAAAAAGGAATTTCAAAGGATATAAAAAGGAAAAACCTGTCGGTTATATTGATATTTCGTGAGCGGAAATACAAACTATCGAAAAGTTACAAAAAATTTTTTTTTTGCTAAGTTAAACTTTAATGAAAACATTGAATAATTTTTTTTTTAGACGATTTTCATCCCCCAACCTCATCCGGACCCCCATCGTTTTTTTGCACGTGTATCTTCTCAAAGAGTAGGGGAAGGAGAAGTAGGAGGAAAGGGGGTTTCGGTGAGGGAAAAAAAATGACTCCAAAGGAAATTATGAAATTTTTTTTCCCGATTTTTTACAAAAGAATCAAAGAGTAAATATTAAAAAAATGATTAAAAACAAAATGAGGGGGGCAATAACGCCGGGAAAATTTGCCATCGGAGAGGTTGGGAGAGGGGGAAAATTTTTTTATTTTTCCTTTCGAGCAATAACAAGAATATGAATTAAAAACTGAATTTTTTTTTTTTGAATTTTATATATTTTAAATCCGACAGACTGATATAAACTGGTTGAAATATCACTCGAGGGAAATTTCAAATGAAAAGGTTGGCACCACCACCACCACCATTTTCTTTCGAACCCTCTAAAAAAAAAAAAAAATAGGAAAAAATTTGCATTTTTTTCATTCATGACTACTACTGCCACGTTCGCGTTCGTTCGTTCTTTCCTTTTTTTTCTTCTCATTTCTTTCACTCGTATACGAAGGTTGGGATTTTTTTTTTTTTTGATTTTCCGCCATTTTCATTTTTTATCTCTTAATCGAAAAAAAAAAAAAAATTTTTTTCCAGTAAATATCCGATGAAGAATCTAAAATAAGGTTTTTCAATTAATCATTTAGCTGTCGGTTAAGTTGAAAGGATGAAAATCAATTGAATTTTCCGGAAAAGGAAATCTTCTTTGTGAAAATTTGTCGTTTTCTTCATCATCATCATCATTATCAAACTTTTGTGAATTTTACTGGAATTCGATTTTAATTTTTTTTCAGCATTTTTCTTTTAAAAAAAACAGGTACGATTTGTAAAAAAAAAAAAGTTTTTGAGACATTTAAAATGCTGACGTATATTTTCCGGAATTTTCCAGGAATGTAAAAATTAATTTATTTTTCTTTCGTTTTCGTTTGTCGTTGTCAGACAAACCTTTTCAAAAAGGTTTTAATAAGTTTAATTTTTATTAATAATAAAATATTACTTAAATTTAATCTCTCATTTTTTTTTTTAAAACTTTTTTAAAACTAAAACCGGAAAAGGAAATACACAATGGAAATTTTTAACACAACAACAACAACAGCAATCAAAAAAAAACACGTAAAAATAATAAAAGTTGAAGAGTAAAAAAAAAAAAAAAAGGAAAAAAACCTTTTTTTTTTTAAAAGGAAAACAAAAGGAAACTAAAAGGAAATAAAAAAAAATTGACTAACAAACTGGAGGATTGATATTTATGCGAATGACGTCTGGAGAAAATGTTTTGGCGTCTGATGTCTTCCTGTCAGCCATTATTCAATTCTTTTCTTTTTCATTTTCATGTATTCTCTCCACCCCTCCCCCTCCCTCCCTCCCTCCCTCTCTCTCTCTCTTCACTTCATTCATTCTCTATTTTTTAACTTCCGTTTTTTACCGTCTTCGAACATTCTAGAAAAAAATTCATGTGATGTGCAACCATAAAAAAAAACCCAAAATTCTTATCATTTTTTTTTTTTTAACATAAAATTTATGGATGTCATAGAGAAAATAAGCGGAGCTATGAAATTAAAGAAAATTTTTTTTTTTTCGGTAAGGGATGGTAGGGGTTAAAACAACAACCCTTAATTCGAATTTCTTTCATTTATTTATAATATTTTTTTTTTTGTTTTTAGTGTTTTGAAATTTTTATTTTTACGATTTTCGTTTCGTTTTATTTTATTTTTCTGAACAAAATATTATTATTAGCTGCGGTTGTATAAAGTAAATTTTTCGTTTGTTTGTTTGTTTGTTTGTTTTTCGATTTTTATCCGCAGACAACATAACACAACACACAAAATAAACAAACAAATAAAATTTTAATAAATCAAATGTTTTATTTTTTTTTTCTGAGGGGGGCGGGAAGGAGAGTTGGGGAGGCAGTAAAACGTTTCTGTATAAAATGACCGTTGACATTTTTTTTTTTATCGGCTTACGGTTTTAAAAAGGAATAATAAATTTTAAAAAAAACGTGGTTATAGAAAAAATTCAATTATTAAATTTAATAAATAAATAAATATGAAGGAATGAGGGTGTAAAAAAAAGAAAAAAAAATGTCGCACTCGAGGCATTTTTTTTATTTGACCGATTCAAATAAGCTGGTAATTTAAAAGTTGGGTTTCATTTTTCTCCCGGGCTCATGGGAATCTTCCAGATTTTTCTTCCTCATCAACTGATTCTAATGGACTCATTGCCTTTAGGGTTTTTAACCCGAAGACGAAACAGAAAAAAAAAATCTCCTCTCCTATTCAATTTATAAAAATTCTTTTTTTTTTTTTCAAATATTCTGGTTTTTCTTTCTCCCCACCTTCCCCCGCCTTTCTTCAATAGATCATTTCACCCTTTTCTCAAGGGATGTCTTTCTATTTAACGTAATAACAACACCCGTCAAAGAAATAAGTGAAAATAAAATAAGGAAAGGGAGCAAAGAGAAAGAGAGAAAGAGAGAGAGGCGTTAAAAATTAAATTTATTACTTTTCTTAACTTTTAACAAAATGATTTATTATCGAAAATTAAAAAAAAAAAAAAAATTTTATTTGATTAACTAATAATAAAACAATCACCTTGATATGTATTTTTTTTTGTTAACCCAGGAGTAATGCCTTTCACACTAATCTTCCCATCCGGTAGCAGGAAGAGTGTGGGACTCAGCCGAAGCCACTACCCAACTAAAACTCCTGGATGTGCTTCACTGTGCTTTCTTTTTTTTTTCAGGGGAGGAGGGCCGGTCGCAGGAGTAGGACTCGCATTTCAGCCTTAATCTTCTCTCTCAAAGCCGAAATCATCAGATCCACACTCGCTAGGATGGGAGTGAATTCCCCCCCGGCGTAGCCGTCGCAAAGATCCACCCAGTTGGGAAATATCCCTCAACCATTTGGGAGGCATTCCCGAAGTTTCATTTTTGGTCCAGCCACCCATACTATATAACACATACAAAGTGCATAACAATATATATACAATTTACAAATACATACATAAAATTGCATAGTATAATACAATAATCATGTTAGAGTAAAATCTTTGTTTCACTCTTGGATTGTAGGTGGCGGATCCAGAGCATCTCGCGCTCACGTTCA